AGACTTGAGCATTAGCTTAATTATGCTCCACATGTAACTGTTCACTACACAATCGGTAAGTCAGCCACTGCTGTGCAGGCGGTACGAAAGGCCCAGGTCTCTCTCCTGATAAGATAAAGGTCCCTAATCTTCAATGTCACGAGAGAGAAATCCTTTATCAGGCAATCTCTCAAATGACTGGGATTAATCAGACACCTATTGCCTAAACACACAATTGCTCCATGGTCGGAATACAACATGCCTTGAAGGACACAGTCATCATACCAAATTACCTTGAGGTTATACCTCAAGGTAACCTGGTATGATGACTGTATCACCAAATGATACCAAATGATAAATATCGAAACAATTTCCTTGATCCTCTGATAAAGCAATCTGATGTACAAAAATGGATACATCTACCTCAGCAGTATAGCAACAGGTTTGCTATACTTCACTTGCAAGCAAGTAAAATGTATTGTGTATGCTTGCAATAAGTGTCTCTCGTACACAAACTATTTGTACCATACCATTGTAAAACACAGCAAAACAGTTGTATCAAAATAATTATTTTTGTTTACACACACAGTATCTTTATCTTTAAGAGTACATATATGTCTGTTCAAAGTAAGAAGCCAGATGAATGGGTTTAACCTCGCCCAACTTTTCAAGGTGATACATAAGAGGGGTATGAGAGTATTATAGGCTAGTTGGGGTCAACACTAGTGCCAGCCACCATTTAATAAATATCACAATCTATGACAACCCATGATTTCCATCAAGTCTGAAATTGGGCAATTGTTTTCAATAATGTTTTAGCAGTTTTCACCACTTAGTAATATCAACCTCCCCAGAGACAGAGAGGAGAAAGAGAGACAGATACACACACAAGACAGTACTGTACCTACTACACAACTAAAGGCACAAAAAAATTAAAATAAAAGTGAAAAAATGTGATGTGGCAGAAATTATTATAGAGAATGTAGCCACATTTTATGGTAAAGGTACTTAGGAACGTGGACGGAATCCATATTCACAAATGATGATCTGACAATTTTCTTCCTTATTACTAAAGATTCATTGTAAAGAGGACCAGATTTTTAATGTTTTACTGCACCTTAGGAGTCTTACCAATAATTAAGTCATTCACCAAGAAAATATACCAGAATAAACCCCCAAACAAATAACGAGTCTAAACTGTCAAGCAAATTATAGGTTGCAGCCATCTGAAATAGCCCCATTGCAGATATCAAACCAATCCCCCCAAAACTTTAGGCTGGTTGCTTTAAGCAAACCAAGAGGTGAACAAATCCACAAGGGCCGTGACGAGGATTCGAACCTGCGTCCGAGAGCATCCCAGACACTGCCTTAATCGACTGAGCTACGACAGTCGCAGATTAATCGTCATTGATTAAGGCAGTGTCTGGGATGCTCCCGGACGCAGGTTCGAATCCTCGTCACGGCCCTTGTGGATTTGTTCATTTGATGCATCACGTTAGTGTGATCTCTGTTTGTAGCAAACTAAGAGGTGTTCTGCATTTATTCAGAACTACAACATCTTCAACAGACGAGACTTGTTTAAGCAATCACGGCCCTAACTTACAGTGAAGATACATCACAGGATGCATATTGGAATTTAAATGAAAAAGAACATTCTGTATAGATTAAAAAAAATACTAGTCATGTTAACTTGTTGCCCAGTATACATGGTTATATCTAACCTCTCGGTCAAAGTACTATCAGTAAAGATGCAATAGTGAGAATACAGATTCATAACATTGTACAAAGGTAAACTAATTTGTCTAGTAAAATGTATTACCAGTACTGTACATTGAAAAGTTACATCTCACATTATACAACATGTTCTAATATATAATAAAAATTGATGTCGAGTATTAAAACCTTCTAAGATTTGGAATATATTACTGACTAAATGCTCTAGGGCGTTTATTTTGCATGATAATCGTCTAGCAAATAAAGAACAAAGGACACAGTCAGACTTGTACTCCGTACCCTGTTCATGTGCTACAGTCTTGTCTTTCCAGGGGTTCACAACACCCTGTACAATCTACTGGTTAACAGCACAGATCAGCGGAGTTTGGTAATGCACTGTATATAAAATATAGCTCAAGAGTAATCTCACAATATACTGTACACTGTAGTAAAGCATCTATATAATTCAGAGCAAGATTGCTTTAGAAGATGATCCTACCTTGCGCAACTGTTAGATCACTGTAACATGATCTCGGAAGCATTGTAAGTACACAAAAAGATTAACACGTACAACAAATGATGCCACTGAAATCATACAAATGCAATCTTGACAATTAACCCCACAAAATGAGAAACTGGTATAGCAGGGAGGTGAATTTTCTACTACCTGTAAAACCTAATACGAAGAAAACAGGTAATTCCACCATGCATGGCTCACTTTCCCAGGTCAGGATTTCCACTTCTCAATTTCTCTTCCTTACACTTGATACCGACATGGTTACAACTTTGTCTTTGCAGGTAACCTTAGAATCTGCATGCTTGCATCTCCCCAAAACAAAAAAATCTCCAAGCAAATGTTATCAAAATTCCAAAACGATGTTTAATAAGGACAATTTTCACCAATAATTCAAAAACTACACAAAGCTACATGGATTTTTTTTCCATTTTATAACATGTCATTAGGAAGTTACTGCTGTCTCCTTAGAAAATCATAACCTTAAGAAAAAATTACTGAAAGTTAAACAAAGTTTAATAGACAGTTCTTAAAACATTGTAAAATTTAAATAAACGAGAGTATGCAGCATTCTCGGTGCCTTATATTGTACACATAATCCTCAATATCTTTGGGTTTGGTTAACAATCTTGGCTGGACTCTATTACACGTACAGTATTACTGAAAAGAAAACGTTCAGTGATCCAACATGCCAAGGAGTTTATACCAACAGACTGGAGCACCATGTTACTGGAGCATCACACACAGAGATCACACTAACGTGATGCATCAAATGAACAAATCCACAAGGGCTGTGACGAGGATTCAAACCTGCGTCCGGGAGCATCCCAGACACTGCCTTAATCGACTGAGCTACGACAGGGTTTTAACACTTTTAACACTGATTAAGGCAGTGTCTGGGATGCTCCCGGACGCAGGTTCGAATCCTCGTCACGGCCCTTGTGGATTTGTTTACTGGAGCATGCAACCTCCCATCAACAACCATGAAAATTTAATATTTCAAAGAGAAGGATATAACTACGTACAGTAGAGAGCATGGCAGTACTGGTTTAAAACAGGAATATACAACTTTGAAGGAGGCCAATGACTCGAGCTTAGATGCAAGGTCACGTGAAGTGATTTGACTAACAGCTTTTCAATACCATAAAAAAATTTGGAAGTGGGGAAGCTACCACAGATGTCGGAGCAGAATTCTGAACGATAAAAATAGATTTCGAACCTGAAGAGAATACCAGACTTTAATAAGCACTCTTTGGCAGTCACAAATTAGAGGGTTACAGGATAAGGCAGATGTGACTATGATGCTCAAGATATTGAAGTATTTATTAGGTTCAAGATATGAATTTTCAATAGAGTAGGTAACAACCTGTTGCAGGTTTAATGCACTATAACTGACAAAAAACTACTTCATTTAAATAAAATTTAATAAAATACTATGGCCCACAGAGATGTAATTAAGATCAACAATAAGAGAGCAAGACTGTAAAGTGCAAGATTATATGAAGATGCTGCAAAAGAAAGATCAAAACTTTAATGAGTGCAATTTTGAGTCATGGAGTCACAAGAATGAACGGTATTACACGAGCTATAAACAACATTGATGAATGATATGACTGAGTGACAGTACCTGTAATTTGCAGAATACCACACTTGATGGACCAGGTGTCAAGAACATAACAATAAAAGTAACTGCAGAAGGCCTATTGGCCCATACAATGCAGCTCCTATTGGCCCAAACGTTACAGCTCCTATTTATATTTTCTCATTCATATATGTGTGTATATATATACAGTATATATATATATATATATATATATATATATATATATATATATATATATATATATATATATATATATATATATATATACTGAATATACCTAATCTATGCTAGAAGCAATCCAGCAATCCTATATCTGATACACTGTACAAATTGGTCTTTTCCCTGGGTAGCATTATTTTCTAGATCCTTATGCCTTCAAAATATGGAATATGGCTATTTTTCCCCTCAAACTTTGCTTTGACCATTGCCTTGTACAGGGTTACTTAAAGGCTGCTGACTTCTTATCTAGAGCTGTCAGTAGTCCGCATACCCATCACAACCTGACTGATCCAGCACTTTCTGTAGGAAACTCTCATTACCTTTTCAAAACTTCAACCTTTGTTCCAACTCACACCCTCTTTGTACGGGTTACCAGGCCTGCTGTGGTACTCTTTCTCACCCCCCCCCCTCCCATATTTCATGTTCTTATACTGGTATACTCTTATTTGCTGGTACAGTTCCATCTAGGAGGTACATTTCAAGTGTTTCGAGACTGTTCCAATAAGACGGTTTGAATAACGTTGGTCTATTTACAGTAGACATTTATCCTCTAGTTTGAATAATTCTTTAGTCTTGAAAGCGGGAAGGGGAGAGGGAAGACAAAAGCAGTATTACAAAACGACACAGCACGAGTGATTTAGAGTAGCATCCCTACTTTTGAAGATTTTCATAATTCATCCAATCCTGTTCCTGGCCAAGGTTAAGTTTGCTCTGTCATATTCATTAAATATTTGGTAGTCAAACATGATTATTCCTAGACCAGAAGTATGTTATTTCTGGTCTATAAAAGATCGATTGGATCTTCTATCCTGTATCCTGTATTTCCATAACTACAATATAACACAAAACACAGCAGGAAAAACATCTTAGACCAATAGACTGAACATAATGAAACAGTTGATCGACAGTCAAGGAGTGGGACGAAAGAGCCAAACCTCAACCTCCGTAAGCACAACCGAGTACAATACCCACCTCCCGCGTGATGGATGTTGTAGTTATCTTAGCCTCGGCATGGTCCTCCTCTTCAACCACGCTACACCTGCAACACGAACACACCCCATCTTAGTGGCACATACAAGACAAAAGTGAAAAAAAAACATAGCTAATCAAAAGCATTTATGTTAATCTTTACAGGGGTATATCTCAAGAGGGTCATACCTCGAAATGTATTAGAAATCTTGAGGTTATCTTGAGATGATTTTGGGCCTTTTTAGTGTCCCCGCGGCCCGGTCCTCGACCAGGCCTCCACCCCCAGGAAGCAGCCTGTGACAGCTGACTAACACCCAGGTACCTATTTTACTGCTAGGTAACAGGGGCATAGGGTGAAAGAAACTCTGCCCATTGTTTCTCGCCGGCGCCTGGGATCGAACCCAGGACCACAGGATCACAAGTCCAGCGTGCTGTCCGCTTGGCTGACTGGCTCCCTCAATTATGAAAATCTAATGCCGTCAGTTCTAAAACCCACATGTATTTTAACAAAAGAGTAGGCCGAAGCTGCTGCTACTATAAAACTCTTCTACAGAATGTCTAAAAGCCTAAACTAAGCTAAAATCTAGTAAAACAAAATAATAAGTTGTTCATACACGAATTGTGAAGCTGAAGTGTTCCAGTTGATCAAACTTGAAATTTTGAGCAATAAACAGTAATTCTAAAATGAGGTCAAGTCTGTGAGGAGTAGAATTCTGTTAGCATACTGAAGATGTACTAATACTAACTTAGCAGTTCAAGCCCCCTAATAAACTCTCCCTTCAGGACAAAATATAAACACAGCTTAAGCTACGCATGTATTCACCAGCCGATCCTCCTCAACTTACAATACTTATAGAAGCTATTTGGCCAAAAAGCACAAATATGTAATGATGGACCACAAAAACTTTGTTTTTTGTACTTTCATTTTATAGCCAAGTAAAAAAGCTAAAAACGAAACAAACACTCCTAGAGTTACTATAGCACATATATTGTGCTAGACTAATCCAAATTTATAAATGCTCTACTGAATTTACCCGAGAGCCATTAACACTAGTGGCCTCAACGAGGATAGCAAGGTGGCGGTATGACAAAGCCCCCCACCCCTCAATGTGTCCCAATTTTTTCCTAGCTGGATTTTACAATTCAACAATTTTGGCACTTATGGCTTCTATGGGTAGGCAGTTCCATGGGTTATAACCCTGTGGCTGAAAATGCATCTCCTGTTTTCAGTCCATCATTGTGGCTTGCTGAGCTTGAAACCGTTGCTCCTTGTTTGTGTTACATCTGACCCTTTGAAGAAATTGTTCGGATCAGCGAATCAACATCCTCAAATTTTAAGTTTCAATAAACTCAGCCCTGTCATGCCTGGTTTGCAGTGTTGTTAGCCCTGTGGCCCTCAACTGTTCTTGGTATGAGAGGTAACTTGGTTCTGGTTATATATACTGTACTATATATCTTTTTTTTTTTGTGATATATACAAGAGTTGTTACATTCTTGTACAGCAACTAGTACACGTAGCGCTTCGGGCAGGTCCTTGGAATACGACCACCACGAAGAATCGTTGTTACAACCAAGTACACATTTTACTGTCGAGTTAAACAGAGGCTACAGTTAAGGATTTGCGCCCAGTAAATCCTCCCCGGCCAGGATACGAACCCAAGACAAAGTGCTTGCGGAACGCCAGGCGAGTGTCTTACCACTACACCACGGAGACTGGTTCAAGACAGCATGTATTTGGCTTAGGCTTATGAGGAGAAGTTAGGTTAGGTTCTATATTTATGTTGTGGGAGGAAGGGGGGGGGGGGGGTCCTATTTGGCTTAATTCAATAATACAAAACCAACTTTTTTTGGTAGTCCATCACCACACATTGGTATCCGAGAGCAAACAGTTACTCAAGTACACTACTATCATTTTAGGAGGATGGGCAGTTATTCAGATAAGGCATTTGAAATGTTATATTATACAGCACTCCCTCAGTTGTTTACACTGAATACATTGAAAACAATACATTGAAAACTGGATAGTATTCCCCAAGAAGTGCCGGACCAAACGGGCCGTGGTGCATATATGGGCCTGCGGGCTGCTCCAAGCAACAGCCTAGAGAACCAAACTCTCACACTTCAAACCAGGCACAAGCTTGGGGAGTAGAACAACTCCCAGAACCTCATCAAGCAGGTACTGAAACTCTTCATCACTTTTTTTTTAATTCTATTTTTTTTAAAGGCTGAATTGTTTTTCTGTCTATATTTACTTTTTAAGTTTTATAAAAATATTTATCACTCACAGAAACAGCAGCTATTTACAATATTTGTTAATATTATTGCACTAAGTTTTTTAAGTTAATTTGTTTTTATGGACTGAACACCCATTGTTGGCAGTGGCAGAAAGGTTGCAGTCACATTACTGGATCAGGAACTGAACTAATGTACTTAAAGCAAAGCAATTTACATTTGTAGTGACTTACCTACTTACATTTTTCATTTGCATATTGTTAGTACCGATGATGAGCACTAGCACTTCAAAATGTGTAATACCGGTATGTAAAATTGTTAAACGCTTTCACGGTTTGCGTGTATACAGTAGTCACAATGTAGAACCATTGTGGAGTGTGCGAGGCACTGCCGAGTTTGTCAAAAATTCACGTAGACTCCAACAGATATATAACAGATAACTATATATAGTATACAGATAACTATCACAGGATAATGTAGCTGAGCACAGCCGGTGTACAAGTTATTAAGCAAGTGGAATGAACGAGAATATGTGCAAACTCGAGCCACAATTCTAAAATCAAGACAAGACCAAATAATTGCACAAGGAATAGCTAAGGGCAGGGACCAGGAGCTAGAACTCTTCCCCACCAGACTATCATAAATAGGTAACCATTCTCACCCCTCTCTTAACGTATCTTGCTTAAATACCTGTATATCCTTGCCTTATCCAGAGGTCACGACCTCTTCATAGGGTGCAGTCGCACCTCCACAGATCTCCAGTATCAGCTAATGATACTGGTAATGGCTCCAAAAGGCCACCACTTACGGGCTATTCATGCCCGTGCCACCTTTAGGGTGGCTTAATCTTCATCAATCAATCTTGCGTTATCCCCCTCACACACACACTCTTTCCCTGCCAAAGTGCGTCCACACCATTCTAGTCTGCCATGTACAGACAAAAGCACTCTAAGCTCTTATTCCTTATAGACTGACCCCCGTCCCTTCCCTGCACCTCGTCTCTTATGACAATATTCGGCCACAATCACCAGGATTTATCAGAGTAAATATTTATGCCCTCTGTTGTTGACAGACTGTGACCTACCTGCTGTCACCACAACGCTATCATCTGCTCCTTCCACCTTCCAACCACTTGGGCTGCACGGTAGAGCGACGGTCTCGCTTCCTGCAGGTCGGCGTTCAATCACCCGACCATCCAAGTGGTTGGGCACCATTCCTCCCCCCCCCCCTCCCCATCCTAAATCCTTATCCTGACCCCTTCCCAGTGCTATATAGTCGTAATGGCTTGGAGCTTTCCCCTTCCTTTCCTTCCACCTAAACCACACAACTCTGCTGCGTTCCATTTCTAGACCAGATAACCTAAACAACTATCACTGCTTGCAGTAATACTACCCTGTGATTATTGACTTAACCAAACAAGCCATCAAATTTAAAGACCTTCAGAGTTTAGCGCACGTGTCTAAAACCATTTTAATAATGCTGGAACTGGAGCACTGTTTTAACCCAAGCAAGACCTAGTTGTAACATGTTATATTAATAAGATATATGATAATATATCTTTTGACACAGGAATTCTGAACTTCTGACACCAGAAGGCATGTCAGGATGAGCAGAATAACCCCCGTTGAGAAGTAGAGGTGCAATAGGTACTCTTGACAGAGAACTATCAACATCAGAGGCCCGAGACTGTTCAACACGCTTCCACTACACATAAGGGACATAACTGGCAGACCCCTCACAGTGTTCAAGAGAGAACTATCAACATCAGAGGCCCGAGACTGTTCAACACGCTTCCACTACACATAAGGGACATAACTGGCAGACCCCTCACAGTGTTCAAGAGAGAACTATCAACATCAGAGGCCCGAGACTGTTCAACACGCTTCCACTACACATAAGGGACATAACTGGCCGACCCCTCACAGTGTTCAAGAGAGAACTATCAACATCAGAGGCCCGAGACTGTTCAACACGCTTCCACTACACATAAGGGACATAACTGGCCGACACCTCACAGTGTTCAAGAGAGAACTATCAACATCAGAGACCCAAGACTGTTCAACACGCTTCCACTACACATACGGGACATAACTGGCCGACACCTCACAGTGTTCAAGAGAGAACTATCAACATCAGAGGCCCGAGACTGTTCAACACGCTTCCACTACACATAAGGGACATAACTGGCCGACCCCTCACAGTGTTCAAGAGAGAATTATCAACATCAGAGACCCAAGACTGTTCAACACGCTTCCACTACACATACGGGACATAACTGGCCGACACCTCACAGTGTTCAAGAGAGAACTATCAACATCAGAGGCCCGAGACTGTTCAACACGCTTCCACTACACATAAGGGACATAACTGGCCGACCCCTCACAGTGTTCAAGAGAGAATTATCAACATCAGAGACCCAAGACTGTTCAACACGCTTCCACTACACATACGGGACATAACTGGCCGACACCTCACAGTGTTCAAGAGAGAACTATCAACATCAGAGGCCCGAGACTGTTCAACACGCTTCCACTACACATATGGGACATAACTGGCCGACCCCTCAGTGTTCAAGAGAGAATTCGCTAAACACCACCAAGGATACCTAATCAACCAGGCTGTGATTCATACGTCAGGCTTTCTAATTCTGAACACACACAGGTTTTGTGCATAGTCTCGAGTATGAGGACTTACTCACCCACCCTCCCCACACCTGAGTCAACCTATTGGGGTCGAGTCACCCCAACACTTACGCCTGCACTCCTACCACTATTCCTTAACAATGATCACGGGGGCGTTGAGGTCGTGCTCCCCATGCCCCACCTATTAACCTAGTTT